CAGTTGGCAGTTCAAACCTACCACACAATCCTTGGAAGACAGAAGAGACTTTTCTCCTATAAATAATGCAATCTTGAAAATCTTGAGCTACTGTGAGTCAGAATCCACTTGATGACAGTGGTTTGGACATTCAGAGTGTGTACATTAGGAGTCATTCTTCTGTTCTTTTCGAGTTCCTGTGCATAACTCCAATGTGGTGCTAAGCATGTTATCAGCATATACATTTGAATTATCAAGAGCTCTGCTGATTCAGTAGATTAATTGGGCTGCTAACTGAAAGTTTAGCAGTTCAAACTCACCAGCCTTTCTAGAGGAGCAAAATGAAACAATCAGCTTTCACAAAGATTTACAGCCTCTAGAACTCTATTGAGGATGTCTACTCTATTCTACAGGGTCACTATGAGTTGAAATGGGTTTGATGGCAGTTGGTTTGATTTGGGTGTGATATTTTTATTATTAAGTTCTTCAATCAATTGTGAATTACAACTGCAAGGTTGGTGGTTCAAGTTCACCATCTGCTCTTTGGAAACTCAATACCAGATCATTATGGGTCAAACAAACTCTATGGAACTTAACGACAACAACAACCTTGAACATTTTGCTCTTTTGTAGAGCTATCTGTGTGGAATCACATTAGCAATAATAACTAAAATGTTAGTGAAGAAATAAGGGGAAACTGAATGGTTTTCATTTTGTCTAGACAGGTCTGGTGAAAAGAGATGGGGATAAGATTCTTATGATTCAATAGTGAATAATTGTTATCATGACTAATTTTGACTGTCACAACTGTAAATGTAGAAGTTTTGTAACAGAAACAGGAGAATAGTTAATCTTACAATCAAGAAACAGGACCCTAGGACCATCATGGGAGAAGACAATAAGCGGAATGTGGAACCTTATCCATAGAAGCAGTCAAATCAGAGACAGAGGCAGAGATGAGGACAAGGAGAGAGGGAGCAGCTAAGGACTTTAGACTCATAGAAAGAGAGGGACTGAGAGCTGGCGGCCTTGCAGATATGCCCTTTTGTTGTTTGAATTATTATGTATTCCTGAGAGTTTTTGTGTAGATCTCCCAAACCTCCAGCCCCCTCGCTCCCCAAAAGAGTAAAACAGGGAGGAAATTTGTAATCATTGCAATGAAACAATGATGTAAAGCCAACATTTCCCATGTAAACCACCACTCAGTTCACAATGAATAAAGAAAGAAGAAAGGGGTAGCAAGTTCATGCAGTCCTGGTGTGGTGCTGTATGATAAGCACTGGACCACAAGGTTAGTTTTAACAAGGTTGATGGGTCAATCTCACCAGCCGCTTCTCAGAAACCCTAGACAAATTACCTATAAGAAGCTCTGGTGTTATAGTGGTTACAAGTCAGGCTGCTAACCACAATGTCAGTAGTTCAAAACTACCACCTGCTCCGTGGGAGAAAGATGAGGCTTTCTGCTCCCGTAAAGATGAAAATCCTTGGAAACCCTATACATGGTCACTATTCATTGGAACCGATTCCACAGCATATCACCACCACCATGAGTTGTAACAGATTTTTTGATGGTACTTAAAAACAACCCCATGTGAATGTTGGAAGCATAATGCAGAAAAAGAGGTTAAAAATGGTTGCACACTTTGAAAAATGTAATTTATGTCACCAAATTGTTAAAAAATTGTTGGAGTAGTGTATTCTTTACTGTGCATATTTTCAATAATAAAACTATATTTAAAGGTGAATTTGAAGAAAAGAAAAAGGTAAAACTTTAGACTGTAGATCAGCCTTGAATTATGACTCTCACATTAACAATTTGATTTTCACTAAAATGTACTCAACATGCTTGATGTCTATTAATTCCATCTCCATGATGTGTTCCACATTTCAGTTTTCTCCTGCTTTATTCCCAAAGCAGTTTTTGCATTGTTCTACTGATTATTTTTCTTCAATTTGCTTTTCACATCTCTAAGCTAGACAATAAGCTTCAGAGATTCTTCCTACATCATTTTGGTTTTTTATGTTTTTTATTGTGAATTGAGTGAAAATTTACAGGGTAGATTAACAAATTTATATTCAATGAATCATATTTTGTTTCATTGCAATGATTACAATCCCCTCCATGTACCATCAGTAAGCAATATTTACTTCTATTTCACTCCCCTCCCCCCCATTTTTTGATGCACACACACACACCAAAAAAAGACCACACAAAATGTATATTAATTTAAATGTCCAAAGGGCACTCTTTGTAAGATAACCTCCAGCCAGCAGGCACATAGCCTTTTTCAGTCCCTGGGTCTAGAGTTCTCACCTGCTCTATATATTCATGACATTAACTCTGCCCCTGCCTCTGATGTCACCACTTTTCTGTTTACAATCTCGTGCTCTACTCATGCTCTTCTCTTTTATTGATCCTAAGGTACTCTGTTCCTGAAGTTGAAGATTAACTACTCTTCCCTTTTAGTTACTCATCTTCCACTCTTACAGTTGTGACAATCACTATTAATTCTAATAACAATTACTCACAATTGAATCATAAAGTTTTATTCCCACTCTCCCTCATTTCTTTCGCACATGGAAAAGAGACCACCCATATGGAAAAGAGAAAATTATTCAGTAGGGATTCTACCTTACCCACTTTATTCTAAACTTAAGCACACTCACGTACACTTGTAAACTAACCACTTCGTGTCTTAATAGCCTCCCATTTTTGATAGCCAAAGTCTAAGTCACCTGTACCTACCAACACAGTAAAATGAGGAAACAAACTTGATTCTTGGTATGAAGACACCCTCCCTTTCAATTGGAATTTTGAGCAAATACACTCATATGCAAAGGCAAAGTTCATTGAATTGGAACAATATGCATTTGTTCCATGTATCAAAATTCTCTATCTTTATCTGGTCAAGTTCTCATCAGCTAGATATCCAAGCTATGTCAAATGGATATTGTCTGCAAATTTGGGAGTTCTTGAAGACCTCCCAATACTTCCAACAACCTGTCACTTCACTCACAGTCCTAACCCCCAGTGGCTAG